TCACATTCAATCAGTTCAGTTGGTAATATATCACAATATTGACTTCAWTTACGATTAAACTTGTAAAAAGCATTTTGCTAAACTATTTTTAGCTCATCTCTACTAAATAACATAAATTCATGAACACATGAACCATTGAAAAATTATCCCTAACCAAGTTGCTTTTATGAGAATTTAATTGTCTCTTATTTTTGCAGTACGTGTGACTTTTCCAATCATGTGTCTGCTGCTCCATCAGGAAAAAAAAATAACCCAGCAAATATTCAATTCATTTGATGCAAATATGTGAGATTTTGCATAAAGCTCCTCTTTATCTCTACTGTAGTCAGAACCCATACAGTTCCTCCTCTCTAATAACATATTAAAATGAGAATGACTACAAATAGGTTTGAATTGACCTGTTTAAAACAGCACTCTRAGAGGACTTTTATTGTGAAATATGAAAACAATTTATTTTAATGGAATTACAATTTAACACTGATTTTTCTATGTGACTGCATGAATGTTTTATCAACAGAATTGTACTCATATCTAATCTAAAAAGCTCATWTGGGTTATATTTTTATAGGTTAGGGGACATCATTGTTCAAATATTTGCACGTTTATGTATACCTACGGAGCCTCAAATAGACGTGACATTTTGCAGTCAAGACAGAACAAGATACAAGTCCCTGGAACCTGGATTTTCTGCTCTTACATTTTCATCAGCTGTTTCTGTAAGGTTTGGGTTTTCGACTTTAACAGGAAATAAACTTTATCAAACAGGACATAGAGACAAAAGACAATTAATGTGAGTTAAAACTACGTCTGTGTTATCAYCTAGACATATGCAAGTGTCAGAGCTCCGTTTAAGCACCTAAWTAGTCCACCAAACATGGTATCAGATTCGTGTGAGCATTAGCATGTAGCTAACTTGCCAAACAGCTACAACTGAAAGGGGCTTACTTACACATCGATAGTCTTCTGAGTCTGTATTAAAAAACACGCAGCGTGATTTGTTGCTCATTGTCGCAGAACTCTGACTATTCATTTTAAGACACTTTCATGTGATTACTTCTCCTCAGTTTGTTTTCGTTTGGCTGAATTCTTCCTCGTGCTTCCTGTTTCTACGGCGCGCAAAAAGGGATAAAAAGGAGGTTTTGACAAACCTTTAATTGCGTGAAAAACTCTGCTTTGTGAGATTTTTTTTCCACTGAAACTTCCTTCCTAATTTAAAAAACAAATAAAAATCATTAAATGCCAATAGAAAGTCTGCATATTTAGCTTTTAAATGTAGTTTTTAAATTCTGTTACTGACATACTGAGTTTCTAAAACATTAGGCTGTAGTTTCTAAWMCATCAGTTAMAAATCWCCATAATCCCCTTGTTTTAATAAGTACCAAAATAAGGTTTTTGTTGTAATAAAATGGTAGAATTTAGTTTTTCAAAAAGTMATTCATGTTTCTGCTTTTTACATTTTGAGAATAAATTTTATTAAGAATGTATCCACAAATTTACAGAAAATATTACTAGTAGCCAACATGATTGGCTGCTTTTTCACACCTTTAGTTTACCTGACTATTTTCATATGATCATAAAAATGTATTTTAAAATAAGAGCTCCAACATAACAGCTCCAATTTATTTAACTGCAAAAAGCTTGAATAACWTAAAGTATTGTTTAACAACAGTGAGCAGCCAAAAGTTTGCTTAGGTGGTTTTAACACAGAAGGATGCCTCTCAGATCACATTTAGATACTTTTTGCTATAGTTCTTTAAGCCTGTTGCACTCTAGGAACATGCATGAAATGTCACAKTTATGGGTTTGTGAATAATTTATTTTTTTGCCTGTTTTTCTCTGTGTTACTCACCAGTGTTTTATCTGTTTAGCGTGGCATTTTTATGTTTGTTAATCCATAATCCCAAGCAGTGTTTTATCCAAAGTTCCCTATGTGTTTTGTCCCACACATCTTTCGTTCATCTGTAATGATCTCAACTTGTACATAAATCTCCAGTCTTTTCCTGGTTTTCTTTCTTGCTTGTTTGATTGTGTTTTCATTTATTAAATCATTTTAAATTACCAAATTGCTGCCTCTTTTGAGTCCACTTCATCACAAATTTAGAGACGTARTGGTTACTGTGTTATATGCATCTGTGGGTTCCTGAAATATTTTGCTAACGCATAAATGCGTACAAACAGAGGCAATAACATGACATTGCTGTCTTTTTTGTGTAGTGTCAGTGTGAGGAAAAACATACTGAGGTATTCCTTTATTCCACTAATGGGATTCCACTTAAAGAAATTTAATTAATAAAAAAAATTCTTTCTTGGAATTTGGCATATTGTTTAATTTCTATATGCAGAACAGGTGGAGATTGAAGTGTGGATAGGTGTGTTCTACTGAATTTTATTGTGTTCCTGAAAGTTTAGCTGCACCCAGAGGCCTTTGAGCTCATCACTATGGGTTAGTCAGGCAACAAAGAATGAAATCTGTTATTTCTAGTTGTTGCAACATGTTACAGAACAGACATTACTCTATTTTACCATCTTAAATCTTTATATCTTAATAATAAAAACACTTAGTGATTATAATTTAAGTTTAAACTTGTTTGTCTTACACAACTATTTCTTTTATACTTTAAGAGTCTGATTCTAATCAGTATGCTAAATTTTGCAAACTATATTATATGAAATTTTAATTCAAGATCTATTACAATTACATACATACATACATACATACATACATACATACATACATACATACNTACATACATACATACATACATACATACATACATACATACATACATACATACATACATACATACATACATACATACATACATCATGTAATAATGGAAAACATTCCAGATTTTTCCTCCACAAACTCTTGAGTTTCTGAGTTTTAAGGTGTTGTCAGTAGAAACTGAGCAGACAGGCAGCATTCCTGAACCTGTTGGGAGTTCTTCACATAGTCAGCATTATTGGTGTCTGAAGAACAGTTTCATAATTCAATTCAGTTCAATTCAATTCAGTTTATTTATGTAGCTCCAAGTCACAACATACGTTGTCTCAGGGCACTGTACGTGAAAAGAACAATCTAAGAAGAAGCCAGCAGATGCGTTGAATCACTTCATCACAGTCTCCCATCCTGAGCAAACGGTGGAGAGGAAAAACTCCCTGCTCATCAGGAAGAAACCTCCAGCAGAACCAGGCTCAGGACAGGCGGCCATCTGCCTCGACTGGCTGGTTGGAGGACAGGAAAGAGACAGACAAACACAGAAGAACTGGTCCAGGTGCACCTATTTCTGGAAAGAGACAAAAAGAAAAAAACATGTTATTGATAGAAACAATTACAATAAACATGTAGAGAAGAGAGATTAAAGACAACAGAAGAATTTTTTTGTCGTAAAGGTCAGGAAAACTTAACAACAATATTACTGTTTTAGTTTGGTTATAGCTGTATTGCAAATTTATTCACTCAAAAACATCAACAAGTGATGTCATTTTGGGCTGTTTTGCCTCCACAAGAGCTACAATTTCTCTTTGACAGCCTAAACAGACAAGATACTGTTGTCATAACCTGCTTGCTCATTCATGCAAAGTACGGTTCAAACACAGTCACTGAAACTAACAAGTAAATCCAACTGCAAATCTGAATATCTGGATGCTACAAAAAGATAAGTAAAATTAAGATTGCACAGTTTGATAAGACAACTTTATTTACAGTTTTATTGAGGTAAAATGTTGGAAAAATAAGAATGTGAAATTTTAAGCACTTTTTTGTTGTAAATCTTTGAAAATGAAAATGCATTTTATCTATTTTTATCTCCTTGAAATTTATAAAGAAATATTTCTAAAGCTGTGTGGTGTTAGGACCACTTTATTTAGTTTCCTAGATGAAGCACTGACTATATCAAAAATGTAACTTGAAAATCCTCATTRCAAATCTTACAAGAAAAAAATGTGCATGTGTTCATTTTAGCCTGGCAATATAAATAAAATCACGCTGTATGTTGTGATGATATGAAAAATTTCCCATGACTTCAAGAGGAAAGCTTGAACTTGTAAATTTAGCAGATCTGATGGAAAATGCTTTTCCAGCAGCGAGTTCATTCAGACAGGCCGCTGTGAGAAGAACTCATGACAATTTTATGACTTTTGTTTGTTTTTAACATATTTTAGCAATCTTCAATAAGAGCAGAAACACACAGCGGTTGCTGAGTATATTGGTATTAGACAGCTTAATTATTGCATTTATTAAGTTTCTGCAGTTTTCTTGAGAAWAAGTCTCCCCCAAGAAATCTCATGCATTTGTTTCAGCAATCAAATAATACCCCTTATTATACTGTATGTGCAACTCATGTTTAAGACTTTTATTGTAATTTTGCATCTAAACAGACATTGCAAATCAATACTTTATGTAACATTACTTAAATTGTTTAAAAAATATAGAGCAGGCTCTGATAGTGACTTAACATCTCCTAAATGTATTGAAACCTTTAGTAAAGTTGCTTAGTGGTCAAAACTATACAGCACTTTGTCAAATCCCTATGGACTCCAAAGTACTTTACAGTCTATCACCCATTCACACACTGATGGTAGTAAGCTACACTGTAGCCACAGTTGCTCTGGCGTGAGGCCATGCACGGGACCCTTCCTCACAACAGAAAATCTGTTTTGTTTTTCCCTTAGGTTGAAACAAAAGCAACATCTTTTAAAATAAGGGTGGTTTACRTCACATGATTTCTCATATAAGCTGACATATATAAAGTTTAGATCTGAGAAAGCTCCTCAGATAATAATTAAAATAAAGAATCAAATAAAATCTAAATTCATTTCTGTACCAAATATTGAGCTTGAAAGCCTTTTTTAATAATAAAAATGAATTTCACTGGAAAACTAATCTCTCTGAGTTCAAAATATTTTATGTCTTTTCTAGAACCACATTTTTTGTGTATGAAGTTTTTGCAGTACATTGGAACCAGGCCCAAATCAATGCATGACACCAACAAGAGGAGTAAGAGATGGTATAAAAGTTTATTTTAGAAACATCAGGACTTTAAAAAAAACAACAACAGTGCACACACTGCATACAAAAATACAGCAATTTCTTGTTTTGACAGATGGACCTATAATGCTAAATGGACTCAAATGACAATAGAAACAAAGACAGCATCTCATAGAAAACCCTCATTATTCTCCTGGCAGAAGAATGATCAGTTTATTCCAGTTCATCGACCATGTAGGACACGAAGAGATCACGGGCAGATCCACAGAGCACCTGCCTCCCTCTGAGCAACGAAATAACAAAAAATAACAAAAAATAAAAATAAAAACATGAAATTAAAGGAAAAAAGTGACAGATCCATGTGAACTCACTGACATCATCACCAGGCAGGTGAATCTTGTGTCAGTATTGAAGCCAACAGAATCTCCTTCTCAGTCTCTCCATCAAACAACGAGGTAATAAATACATTAAATATAGGCTTAAATAGTTTTATTTTTAATTTGATATGACCTGAATGTGAAACAAACTCTCGAGTGCAAAACATTTGGAGCTTTAGTGGAAGCATGTTTCCCTCAGGATCAGTTTAGACCAACAGCACAGGCCTGCAGGACTGCTGCTTTTCATTAAATGTCAGCAGCAGCATCCTCTGCAGCAGCAGCAGAATCAAGGCTCCGCTGAGGAAATCAGTTCAGCCAGTGAAGTGGGAAAAAAAATATTCACAAAATAAAAACAAGAAGTCCAGCTCGTGGTGCGTTCACTGGCCCCATCCTGCGATGCCAATCTCCTTCTTGTAGCGCTTGGTTAGAGAGTTGGCCTGCTGCGTGAGTTTGGACAGCACCTCTTGCAGTCCGGTCAGGTGGAACTGGAACTGCTTCTCCAGGTCCTCGTCTTCATCTTCCTCCTCCTCCTCCGATGATGATGATGATGACGATAGTGAGGACATGGAGGAGGACGTGGAGGCAGAGGAGTGGGAGCGCGTGAGCTTCATGCCCTCTTTGCGCCTCTCGTCGGCTTCGGCGCATTGGACCCCCCACTCGATGTTAGTGCGGATGGACTTGAGCAGCTGGTAGTAGCTGTACATGTCCCCCTCGTCCACGTCCGCCTTCGGGAAGCCCTGGCCCGGCTCCTTGTCCTCCTCCAGCAGCGGGACGTCCCGCAGCATGCTGGGCACCATGATGGTCTGATCCATGTTGTTGACGGCGCCGATGAAGCGGTTCATGGCGTTGAAGAGAGAGTTCTTCTGGTTCTGGGTTTCTGGCAGCTGCATCATCATCTTTTTTTCTGAGTGGTTTGTTGTCTTTGCTCTCTGTGTTCCGAGCTTTTCTGCTTCTGTCGTGCTTCCTGCTGAGTGTGAAAACGTCCTTTTATACCCAGCAGCCARGAGGCGGGCGCTGACTGAAACCGGTTTGACACGTTCTGATCCAAGAGTAACCGGACCCAAATGACCTGAAGTAGCACAGGTGAGAATAGATGAGCAAAAAAGATGTTGGCGCACTTTCTAGAAGAGGAGTGGCGGAACTCTGCAGAACTCGAAGTCCGATTCAGAGAACCAGCTGCGGATAAATAATAAAAGAAGCCTCTCCAAATATCTAAGTCCAGAGCGCGCGCAAACTTTCCCGTTACGCACCCTGGCAGTCCGCGATCCGCTGGATTTATTATTATTATTAATAATTTTATTCTCACATTTTATCTTCCGGTTAAAGCCGTGAAAGAGATTACATCAGCATTTCATACATTCTGTTCTCATGAGAAAYCACTGATGCGCAAAGGTGACGCGGTTCCTTCATGAATATTCACCCTGAAGGCACATCGGCCCATATCCGCTCGGCTCCTCAGCCAATCAGCGGGCAACTTTTATTTTRAAGGCGGATCTACTATTTAAAAGAAATGACTGAACACCGACGTCGTGTTAGGAATGAAATGAAGAAAGATTTTAGAGTAAAACACATCAGTGTTCTCGGAGAACATGAGTCAGAAGTTATTCTACGGGTTTAGTTTCATGTTTGATTCATGACAGGACCCTTTTTGTTCAGAGGGTGCACTAATTTTAAAACTCCTTTTGAAGTTGCTTTTTAACCCTCTGGTCTGAGCTTTGACTGAAAAAAAAACGCATTTTAAAAGAAATTCTTTTGAAGTTTTGCACACTAGATGTGGTTCTGTGAAAAGGTTATGAACAATCATCATCTTACCTGTTGCAGATAGCTTGGAAAAGTAGAGTTTAAGGATACACAGGGCCCAAAGCAGATTTCATTTTTTGCACGTATGCGATTCATATCTGAATTACATTCTGAACATGACAAATGTAACATTTTTCAAATCAGACCCAGGTCTTTTTTACACATAGTACTAAATTTACCACATATTCAGTGTTTTTCAAAGCAGCCTCAGGCTGTGTCTCAATTCAGGGGCTGGGTCCGAGTGCGCATTTGTCGGCTGCATACGTCATTGCCCAGCGCTGAGGACTGTCCCAATTCAAAGGCTCCTCATCACGCGGCCGAGGAATGCGTCCTACTTCCTGTCGAAATCCGAGGATGCATCCATGTATCCTTACCAGCCGAGGATATCCCAGGATTCAATGCGCGGGCAGCAAAATAAACTGAGAAATGAAGATGGTGGTGTTTTTATTTTTTTAATGTGTCGGCGCAGTTTGGAAATTCACCACTGACTGAAGGATTTGTTTTTAAAAGTAAAGTTATAAGTAAAAGTAAGTTTAGCAACTTAGCTGATGAAATTTATGCTGCAATAAAATGTCAAAACAAAATGCAACTATAAGTTACAAAAATAAAGTATTATAAGAATAAAGTCATAACGTTATGA